TCGTGACTTGTCCGACCGCGGGACATTGCTTCCCGGGTCGGTACGTGTGTTCGGCCGAGGCTCTTTGGCCGACCGCGGAAATGCGTTCCTTGGCCGGCCGCTTAGCACGGCTTGGCTGCTTTGCACTTCAAGCAGCTCCATGCACAAGCACCAGTTACCCATGCGTGCTCTGATTGAGTTAACTTTCCAACGCAACTGGAATGGCCTAATTTGGATGAGTAGAAAAGGAGTTATAACCAAAAGAGTGAAGACTGTCCAGACGGCTCTATCGAGAATCAGCGCCCAACCGCGCAGTCCGGCTGGCCGAGGAACGAATGTTCCGCGCTCGGCCAAATGTCCGTCCGTCTGAAGTCTCGGCCAAAGTCCAAAACCGTCGGCCGATCACGCATCACGACCCGGGAAACTTGCCCGCGGTCGGCCACGCCAAACGCCACGCCACACCGCGCACGACCAAAGCGCGCGAGCCGGGGAGTAACGCCTCGCGGCCGCGCAACTCGTCTCGCGTACCACGCACGAACATCCGTCCGACCCGGGGAACTACGCCCGCGTCCGGCCGAGAATTCATCGGCCAAATCCAATCCGCTCGACCACGCCGGCCGACCGTGAATCCGTCCGACCCCGACCGTTCCGACTCGGCCCACGACCGATTGTCCGGCCGATCGTCCCGCACGACCGTCCCAACGCCGCGGTCGACCCGAAGCCCTTTTGAAGCCCAAACTTATGTTTTCAAGCCCGGCTTAACCCTAGCCGCCTCTAGAAAGACCTAGCACTATATATATGGATTTTTAGCCTCTTGAGAAAGAGAGCCGCCCTGTATTTCGATTTCCTACTCTAAGTTTTATTGCAATCATGTTTTCTTCATCTCTATGTGTGTTTGCTTTGATCATGTCTGAGTAATCCACTAGTTAGGTTGCTAGGGTTACTATTCAATGAGTTGCTTGCATGATCTTTGATTTCAATGATTAGCTAGGGATTATATTAGAGTCTTTGTCTCGTCTTGTGCACTTAACTAATGCTGATTGCTTTACCGCGCATCTAGTAATCCGATCTTAGGTTGATTTGAGCCTCGACAGTGCTGTATCATTCGCCGGACATATTCTTTGACAAGCTAGGTTTCTTAGACTGCGAAAGTTGATCTATCTATATCTAGTGAACTGTATCAGAACCTATTCATTCTAATGCTTGATCTAATCACCTAGGGACATACCAAAAGTTTAGCGACTAGGTAGATTAGCAAAGGAGCCGGAGCCTCGAAAGTGGAATGGTTTTATATTCGTGATCTGTGTTCTAGATGGTTCTTAATATCCCAATATCCCTAATCAATTAATCTATCATTGTTTCATTGATCATTGCTTGCTTCTCTGCGATAGCCCCTATGACCTAGCGCTTTTCCTTTATTGCTTACAACCTCGTTATACTTGCTAGTTCGGTTCACCATTACAACCTCAATCATACTTTTGTTTTAGCTTGATCCAAAATCCATAGTTACAAAGTGTACTCAATAGCCAGTCCTTGTGTTCGATACCCATACTTCCGCGATCTGTGCACTTGCAGAGGTCTAGGAGTTTGGTAAAACCTGACTCCGCATCAAGTTTTTGGCGCCGTTGCCGGGGACTGCAGCAGTACCTTTGGAACTCGACTAGGATCTAGTCTAGAACCTTTTCCTGTTTTACTTTTCTTTTGCTTTTGAATTTTTAGTTTTTGATTTCCTTTTCTTTGATTTTTACTTTTGTTTTTGTTTTTCCCTTTTAGATTTAACTTGTTTCCAAGACTCTTTTCAGGTGCATGACTAGGAGGTCCAACAAGGACAACCTAGTTGAACATCCAGAGATAGACAAGCTTGAGAAGCAACTTAGGAAGCAAAAGCCCAAGAGATGGCCGACGAAGCAGCTCGCGCTCACGCCGCTGAAGTGGCGCGCGCTCAAGAAGAAGGAAGAGATCCACCTCCTCCTCCTCCTAACCCTGCTGGAGATGTGAATGCACAACCCAAGCTGGAGCACCTACAATCGGAGACTATGACTCTGCCGATGCTTTCTTCATGGATAGAAACCCTATCCATCCACCACCCTGCAAGGAATGACTATGAGATCAAGCCTCAGATCATTGCATTGGTTAGACAGAACCAATTCAATGGACTTCCAGCTGAGCACCCTCTTGATCACATAGAAAACTTTGAAGAAATTTGCAGCACTACAAGATCCAATGGAGTCTCTGCTGACTACCTTAAGTGCAAGCTCTTTTCATTCTCTCTTGGCGACAAAGCTTCAAGATGGTTGAAGTCTCTGCCAGCTCACTCCATTACCACTTGGGATGAGTACAAGGCTGCATTCATCAACCACTTCTACACCAAACAAAGATCAATTTCTGTGAGGAACAAGATCTCCACCTTTCGCCAAGCCAACAATGAGTCTTTCTATGAGGCGCTAGATCGATTCAAGGAGTACATTAGGGACTGCCCTAATCATGGTTTCAATGAAGGGAAACCTATGGAACATCTTCTATCGTGGCATTGACCACAAGTACAAGCTTTCATTGGACACAGCAAGCAATGGAAACTTCATGACCAAGACTGTTGATGAAGCTAAGGTTCTTATTGAGAATCTTGCAGCTAGTGATTGTAACAACTGTCCTGATTATGACCGCTCAAGCCGCACCACTACTAGCTCCCCTGATTCTTTTCAAATGACTGAACTCAAGAACATGATGGCTCAAGTTCTTAAGGGACAGCTCAAGCATATCAATGCAATAGAAGGGATGAGTGATGCTAATGAAGATTCATCAAGAGAATGCATGGGAGATTTCTCTAATGAAGCCAATGAAGAAGATGTGAACTACATTGGAAACTATGGGAACAAGGGATACAATCCAAGCTATCGCCCAAACCCCAACATGTCTTATAGAAACCCCAATGTGGAGAATCCTCAAGACCAAGTGTATCCTCCAAGGTATCCACAACAACAAAGACCTCCTTACCAATCTCAAGGAAGTCAATTTCAGCCAAGGCAAGGATATGAGCAGAGATCATCATATCCGCCCAAGGAGCCATATGCTTCTTCACCAAATCAAGCTCCTCCAAACCAACAAGGTGGGAGATTTGAAGGAATCCTCCAACAGATCATGGATGGCCAGAAGAGAAACACTAAAGAGATGTATGAGAAGATGGACACTTTGTTCAGCAATCTCAACACCAAGTATGATGCTGTTGCCACTCATGTGAAGAAACTAGAGACTCAAGTCACCAAACTATGGAAGCTGTTAAGAGACAGGAAGCTGAATCCAAGAAGTCCTTTTGCAACTCAGCCGCCATAGAAGAAAGATTTGAAGACCAAGTTCCAGAATGGATGCTTTCAAAACCTACTGTTGATTGCATGATTTGGCCTGAAGAGAATTACCCAGAGAGAGAGTCCAATCGAGCTAGAAAGAGAAGACTCTTCCCAAAGATTATCCCCAAGACAGATAACTCAGGAAAGTTTGTTGTGCCTTGTATCATCAAAGGTAACATTCTTGAGCAATCTTTGTGTGACACAGGAGCCAATGTGAACATCATGTCTAAGAGGATAGCTGACAAGATAGGCCTCACCAAGATAGAGCCATCATCCATCTCCATCAACTATGCTGATTCATTCTCACAAACCCCCTATGGCTTTGTGCCTAATGTGATGGTGCAGATTGGAAATTGCTCTATCCCTACTGATTTCCAGATTGTGGAAATGAGAGAGAGTAGCATAGACCTCTCATATTTGGAACCCCTTTCCTGTCTACTGTGGGTGCCATATTTGATTTCCCCAATCAAAGAATCTCTTTCAACAAGGTGAACAAGGGTATGTTCTTCCCTATGTGTTCAACAAAGAACTCTTTTGTTGACATGGTCCAAGAGGAGAAAGCTACTTTGAAGCCACCCCAAGAAGGAGAAACTGAAGAAACAATCAAGGAAGATCCCATTCCTAAGCCCAAGCAGCTTGCCAAACAAGCAAGGAGTAAGACTAAGGCCCCTACACCAAAACCGCCCAAGGGATCAACCAAGATTGAAGATGAGGCCAAGCCAAGAAGAAGGTAGGAAGCCTAGGTCTGGCCGCAACATGAAGCTTCTATTCCCAAGGAGCTTATTGATGAGAATCTAGAAGGATTCAAGGAGAAAGTGACAAGAACTCTAAAGCTTTTTCCTAAGGCAGTAGTGCCAAGGGACATTCATGGAGAGATTGTCTATCCAGCTGTGAATCACCCACCAGATACTCATTGCAAGGAGAAAAGACTTGGCAAATCAAGCTAGGGAGTAGTAGCTCCAATGCAAGAGCAGCAATACCAACTTCACCACATTCCATTGATGCAAGTCAAGAACATGTGGAGAGTCCAAGAAGAGGAGAAGATGATTGGGCACTTGTAACCTTTGTTGGAGAACAAAATCAAGACCCAAGAAGTGCAAGAAGGCAATGGAGAAGGTGAACATCGAACCTGTGTGAAGATGGACACCCAAACCCTTGATCTTCTCAAGATAAGAGATGATGTCACATGGTACATAAGGAAGCTAGGCTTGAGCAAGCTCTTCAAGCTAGAATGTAGTGAGTACTCACAACTCACCAAGGAGTTCCTCTCCACAGTAGCTCTTGCCTTTCCCAACCACAATGGAGACCAACCAGCTGGTGATGGACTCCTACTCTTCAAGATAGGCGATGCCAATGGGCGCATCTCATCTCAGCTCTATGCCAACTCTTTGGACTTCCCAATGAGACAGCACATGACTTCAAGGAGAACTCAAAGAGGAAACAAGCTGCCTTTGCTGATTGGACACACTTTGCCAATGAACCATTCTTGCCTTCAAGGTCAAAGGTGTCTAGAATCACCATCCAGCCATTCGCTATGTGCACCGCCTCATCTCCACCACTTTCCAATGCAAACAAGAAGCCAACAAGGTCACAACTGATGAGTTCTACATCCTCACCACACCATTCATCAAGCATGAGTACAAGGCCAACCTTGGACTTTTACTTGCCAAGACATTCATCAATGTGAGGAAGCTAGCTAAAGACTTGGAAGGCAACAAGAAGCTTTGTGTTCGTTTTGGGAGGCTTATCACGGCCATAGTACACATGTGGGGATTGACATTCCCAACTATGAGCCACTACCCAAGCCAACCCCTTTGGATCTCCATGCTCTTCAGCACATCCACTTCCTAAACCGTTGGACTAAAGACCCAACTCGGTTTTGCTATGAGTTTCCAATTGGTCCAGCCAACACTTCCCTTGTCTTGCTGCCACATGAGACATCCCAAGCCTACGCTCAGGAGTTGTCACTTTCCAGCCCAATGAGGAAGATTTCTATGTTCCATCAAGTGAGAAACCATCATTCCCCATGCTCACCTATCGCACACTTCAGCATGCAGTCAAGACTCAACGCCGCGTCCAAGAACGCCATGTTCTCACTACTGGCATGGCCGCGCATCAAGCTCTAGACCGTGTTAACAAGCTGGAGAAGATAGTGGAATGCCAATCTCGCTTCATCTCACGCCTAGTCGCGTAGTTCGCCACATTGCACCGGAGAGACTCTTTCGCCCTTCTTCCACCGCTAGAGAGCCATATGAGCCTGACCTTGGTGAGTTCTCACTAGACTCAGAGCTTGGTTCAGAAGGCGATGACCCCATAGATGAGGAAGAGAGTTCTTCTCACTGCCACACATAGTCATCTCAAGTGGTACTTAGTGCAATGGACACTTACAAATCTCCATTTTCTATCCCTATCTCATTTTAATGAATTTTTCTTTATTTTTCTTTTACTTTGAATATTACCTCTCACCTTAATGTGATTTGCTTTCACCGGGACGGTGCAAGTTAAGTCTGGGGGGAGTTTTATTGTGTTACTAATGCATTTTTCTTTCTTTTCTTATGTTTTATTCACTTTGTTTCATGTTTTTCAAAAAGTTTTATTGAGTCAAAAACCAGTCCGGAAGTTATGAACTTGCTTTGAGAATTGAGAGTGTTATGCTAACAATCCATGACCCTAGAGCAGAAACCAGCTAAAGGCACAAGCCTAACAGAAGCTCTTACAGTGGATCGACATGCTAGCTCAGCAAAATTTCTAAGGTAACCAAGCAATCTAGAGTTAACCTCACCTTAATCAATCTTAATTACTCTTGTCAAGGGGGTTGGCATACATGTCGACAGTTCCTTGCTTGATTTTCAATAAGATTTGTCTAATCTTTAAAGAGTTCTCCTCTCTCTCCCATCCCAAATGGTAAGTAATGTTTATGAGAAAAAGCTCAAAGAGCACAAGGACAACAAGTAAGCATGAGGAATGCATATGTCTGTACCTTCATGTCTTATGGAATACCTTAGTCAAACAAGGAACAAGCTAAAGACTTATCCTGTGGTTGAAAGAAGGGTCAATAGAAAAAATAAAATGATACCCTAGAAAAGTAGGGATAAATTGACCTTTCAAAGTTCTGATGTGAGAAAGAGAGAGGAAAAGAACTCATTGCACTTAAAGAGGCAATCTTGGAGAGGATCAAGTGGGTAAGAACAAGTTCAATTGATCGATGTCCCCTTGATAAAGAATTCACGCTTTAAATTTATGCAAGAGGTTAGCAATAGAGAGTTTGGATTGCTGGATGAGACTAGTTGGGTTGGTATTGTTCGCTAAACTTGCAGGGTGTATGTGAAGCTAACCTTATGTTGTCTATGTTCATAGTGGAATACAGGAAAGGAACCTTTCACAGGATATTCAAAAGAGCAAGGGAGTTTCCACGTTTTCAAACCTCTTTCACGGATTTAGATTCTTTTTGCTTGAGGACAAGCAAAGATCTAAGTCTGGGGGAGTTGATATACCTCTAATTTACCCACTTTTTATACTGTTTTAGCATTGTTTTCTAATGGTTTTTGGCAGGTTTTCTATCTAAAAAGGTAGTTTTACTGTGTTTATAGTGTCTAGAGTCTAAACAGGTGAAATGATGCATTTTGGAGCAAAACCATAGGATTTGCACTTCAAGCCGCTCCATGCACAAGCACCAACTTTAAGAGGGCCCAGAAAAAGATCTACTCAATGGATTTCATCAAGACCAGTTCCCTGCGTGCTCTGATTGAGTTAACTTTCCAACGCAACTGGAACGGCCTAATTTGGATGAGTAGAAAAGGAGTTACCAAAAGAGTGGAGACTGTCCAGACGGCTCTATCGAGAATCAGCGCCCAACCGCGCAGTCCGGCTGGCCGAGGAACGCATGTTCCGCGCTCGGCCAAAACTGTGTCCGTCCGTCTGAAGTCTCGGCCAAATGTCCAAAGCCGCGCGCAACTCGTCTCACGTACCGCGCACGAACACTCCGTCCGACCCGGGGAACTACGCCTCGCGTCCGGCCGAGATATTTCATCGGCCAAACCTATATCCACTCGACCACGCCGGCCGACCGTGAATCCGTCCGACCCCGACCGTTCCGACTCGGCCACAACCCGATTGTCCGGCCGATCGTCCCGACCGACCGTCCCAACGCCGCGGTCGACCCGAAGCCCTTTTTGAAGCCCAATTTCATATTTTCAAGCCCGGCTTAACCCTAAGCCGCCTCTAGAAAGACCTAGCACTATATATATGATTTTTAGCCTCTTGTGAAAAGAGAGCCGCCTTGTATTTCGATTTCCTACTCTAAGTTTTATTGCAATCATGTTTTCTTCATCTCTATGTGTGTTTGCTTTGATCATGTCTGAGTAATCCACTAGTTAGGTTGCTAGGGTTACTATTCAATGAGTTGCTTGCATGATCTTTGATTTCAATGATTAGCTAGGGATTATATTAGAGTCTTTGTCTCGTCTTGTGCACTTAACTAATGCTGATTGCTTTACCGCGCATCTAGTAATCCGATCTTAGGTTGATTTGAGCCTCGACAGTGTTGTATCATTCGCCGGACATATTCTTTGACAAGCTAGGTTTCTTAGACTGCGAAAGTTGATCTATCTATATCTAGTGAACTGTATCAGAACCTATTCATTCTAAAGCTTGATCTAATCACCTAGGGACATACCAAAAGTTTAGCGACTAGGTAGATTAGCAAAGGAGCCGGAGCCTCGAAAGTGGAATGGTTTTATATTCGTGATCTGTGTTCTAGATGGTTCTTAATATCCCAATATCCCTAATCAATTAATCTATCATTGTTTCATTGATCATTGCTTGCTTCTCTGCGATAGCCCCTATGACCTAGCGCTTTTCCTTTATTGCTTACAACCTCGTTATACTTGCTAGTTCGGTTCACCATTACAACCTCAAACCATACTTTTGTTTTAGCTTGATCCAAAATCCATAGTTACAAAGTGTACTCAATAGCCAGTCCTTGTGTTCGATACCCATACTTCCGCGATCTGTGCACTTGCAGAGGTCTAGGAGTTTGGTAAAACCTGACTCCTCATCAGCAACAACCAAGGAAACAAATCAAGCGAGGGAGTAGCAGCTCCAATGCTAGAGCAGAAATACCAACATCACCACATTCCATTGATGCAAATCAAGAACATGTGGAGAGTCCAAGAAGAGAAGATGATTGGGCGCTTGTAAGCTTTGTTGGAGAACAAATCCAAGACCCAAGGGAGTGCAAGAAAGCAATGGAGAAGGTGAACATTGAACCTTGTGTGAAGATGGACACCCCAACCCTTGACCTTCTCAAGATAAGAGATGATGTCACATGGTATCTAAGGAAGCTTGGCTTGAGCAAGCTATTCAAGATAGAGTGCAGCGAGTACTCAATGCTAACAAAGGAGTTCCTCTCCACAGTAGCTCTTGCCTTTCCCAACCACAATGGAGACCAACCAGCTGGTGATGGACTCCTATTCTTCAAGATAGGCGATGCCAATGGGCGCATCTCCATCTCAGCTCTATGCCAACTCTTTGGACTTCCCAATGAGACAGCACATGACTTCAAGGAGAACTCAAAGAGGAAACAAGCTGCCTTTGCTGATTGGACACACTTTGCCAATGAACCATTCTTGCCTTCAAGATCAAAGGTGTCTAGAATCACTCATCCAGCCATTCGCTATGTGCACCGCCTCATCTCCACCACTTTCCAATGCAAACAAGAAGCCAACAAGGTCACAACCGATGAGTTCTACATCCTCACCACGCCATTCATCAAGCATGAGTACAAGGCCAACCTTGGCCTCTTGCTTGCCAAGACACTCATCAATGTGAGGAATCTAGCTAAAGACTTGGAAGGCAACAAGAAGCTTTGTGTGCGCTTTGGGAGACTCATCACAGCCATAGTGAAACATGTGGGGATTGACATTCCCAACTATGAGCCACTACCCAAGCCAATCCCTTTGGATCTCCATGCTCTTCAGCAAATCCACTTCCTAAACCGTTGGACTAAAGACCCAACTAGGTTTTGCTATGAGTTTCCAATTGGACCAACCAACACTTCGCTTGTCTTGCTGCCACATGAAGATATCCCAAGCCTACGCTCAGGTGTTGTCACTTTCCAGCCCAAGGAGGAAGACTTCTATGTTCCATCAAGTGAGAAACCATCATTCCCCATCCTCACCTATCGCACACTTCAGCGCGCAGTCAAACTCAACGCCGCCACCAAGAACGCCATGTTCTCACTACTGGCATGGCCGCGCACCAAGCTCTAGACCGTGTGAGCAAGCTGGAGAAGATCGTGGAATGCCAATCTCGCTTCATCTCACGCCTAGTTCGTGTAGTTCGCCACATTGCACCGGAGAGACTCTTTCGCCCTTCTTCCACCGCTAGAGAACCATATGAGCCTGACCTTGGTGAGTTCTCACTAGACTCAGAGCTTGGTTCAGAAGGCGATGACCCCATAGAAGAGGAAGAGAGTTCTTCTCACTGCCACACATAGTCATCTCAAGTGGTACTTAGTGCAATGGACACTTACAAATCTCCATTTTCTATCCCTATCTCATTTTAATGAATTTCTTTTTATTTTTCTTTTATTTTGAATATTACCTCTCACCTTAATGTGATTTGCTTTCACCGGGACGGTGCAAGTTAAGTCTGGGGGGAGTTTTATTGTGTTACTAATGCATTTTTCTTTCTTTTCTTATGTTTTAGTTACTTTGTTTCATGTTTTTCAAAAAGTTTTATTGAGTCAAAAACCAGTCCGGAAGTTATGAACTTGCTTTGAGAATTGATAGTGTTGTGCTAACAATCCATGACCCTAGAGCAGAAACAGCTAAAGGCACAAGCCTAACAGAAGCTCTTACAGTGGATCGACATGCTAGCTCAGCAAAATTTCTAAGGTAACCAAGCAATCTAGAGTTAACCTCACCCTTAATCAATCTTAATACTCTTGTCAAGGGGATTGGCATACATGTCGACAGTTCCTTGCTTGATTTTCAATGAGATTTGTCTAACCTTTAAAGCAGTTCTCCTCTCTCTCCCATCCCAAATGGTAAGTAATGTTTATGAGAAAAAGCTCAAAGAGCACAAGGAAAACAAGTAAGCATGAGGAATGCATATGTCTGTACCTTCATGTCTTATGGAATACCTTATCAAACAAGGAACAAGCTAAAGACTTATCCTGTGGTTGAAAGAAGGGTCAATAGAAAAAATAAAATGATACCCTAGAAAAGTAGGGAGAAATTGACCTTTCAAAGTTCTGATGTGAGAAAGAGAGAGGAAAAGAACTCATTGCACTTCAAAGACAATCTTGGAGAAGATCAAGTGGGTAAGAACAAGTTCAATTGATCGATGTTCCCTTGATAAAGAACTCACGCTTTAAATTTATGCAAGAGGTTAGCAATAGAGAGTTTGGATTGCTGGATGAGACTAGTTGGGTTGGTATTGTTCGCTAAACTTGCAGGGTGTATGTGAAGCTAACCTTATGTTGCCTATGTTCTTAGTGGAATACAGGAAAGGAACCCTTCACAGGATATTCAAAGAGCAAGGGAGTTTCCACGTTTTCAAACCTCTTTCACGGATTTAGATTCTGTTTGCTTGGGGACAAGCAAAGATCTAAGTCTGGGGGAGTTGATATACCTCTATTTTACATGCTTTTTATACTATTTTAGTATTGTTTTCTAATGGTTTTTGGCAGGTTTTCTATCTAAAAAGGTAGTTTTACTGTGTTTATAGTGTCTAGAGTCTAAACAGGTGAAATGATGCATTTTGGAGCAAAACCATAGGATTTGCACTTCAAGCCGCTCCATGCACAAGCATCAACTTTAAGAGGGCCCAGAAAAAGATCTACTCAATGGATTTCATCAAGACCAGTTCCCTGCGTGCTCTGATTGAGTTAACTTTCCAACGCAACTGGAACGGCCTCATTTGGATGAGTAGAAAAGGAGTTACAACCAAAAGAGTGAAGACTGTCCAGACGGCTCTATCGAGAATCAGCGCCCAAACCGCGCAGACCGGCTGGCCGAGGAACGAATGTTCACGCTCGGCCAAAATCACATCCGTCCGTCTGAAGTCTCGGCCAAAGTTCAAACGTCGGCCGATACACATCACGACCCGGGAAAGATGTCCCGCGGTCGGCCACGCCACAACCGCTCACGCCATGCCGCGCACGACCACCGCGCGAGCCGGGAAACAAAGCCTCGCGGCCGCGCAACTATCTCGCGTACCACGGCCGATGGTGTGATACCCCGTATCAAGACCTAAAACATCCCAAAGGCCGGGATGGGAAATCAACACTCTGGGATTGGAAGACAAAGACGTGGGATCTAATCCAGAGATCACAACGAAGACTTGGATCAAGACAGGATCAAGAACGATCGAGCAGAACTGAAGATACAACAAGATTGTCCAGGTGGGACGATCATTGTGCGAACATGGGAAGAGCCGACCGAACGGCGAAATATCAAAGTTCTCCAAATCAAGAAGAGAAGAGTTTGGACGACATAAGAGACCATTCTAAGAAGTTTGGTCGAAGCAGAATGCAAATCGGACGAGCAGATTGAGAGATGGGACGAACGCCCAAGATCTATCCCGCAACGACTGCAAGAAACGTAAATGTTCGGGATGGAGGTATTCCGCACATTTCCAAGCAACTATGTGGAAGCTTAGAAACATGGAAATGAGAGAAGGATTAAAATAGGAGATTTTAATTCTCAAGCACGACGGGGACGAAACCCTCCAGACAGGGAAACGTACGAAACCCTCTGGACGAGGAAACGTACATTTGGAGCAATCTTGTTCTAAGCCAACCAAGTGGTGACACCAGCTACTTGGGGAAGATAAGGAGATGAGCTAGACCAGTATGGAGAAGACACTCAGCTACTCAGATGGAGCCAAAACCATTCAGCCAATCATGTAGCAACATCCAGCTACCGAATGAAGACGAAGCAAGCCAAACCAATTGGGCAACGACACCAGCTGCTAAAGAGGAGAGAGGGCGTGGATAAGCTCCAAGAAGACCTAATGCTATCAGGGAGAGACACCCAGCTGCTCATGAGACAAGAATCGTCCAAACCAATCAGACGGAGACATTGAGGTGATAAATGGAGACGAAATTGACTTGGACGAATCAGGATGCAACACCAACTACTGAGAGAGAGGAGAAGCTTCAGGAGTGGATGAGAAGCAATTGGAGAGATGCAGAAACGGATTGGATCAAGAGCTGACCAATCAGACAGAAGCACCCAGCATCTTAATGGATAAGATGGGTTATATCCAATGGCACGACTACACCACATGCTTGGGGGAAGTCGGCCTATTGGATGAGCATTGAGAGGGATAGGAATGACGTGTGTCATGTCCTGAGACGCCCTAGAGGCCACCAATCAAAGCTACCTAGCCTAGACCGCCTGGATGTCGCGTTCTAAGGCAGTGTAGCTTGCCACCAAGCAAAGCTATGCTAGGCCTAGGTCTCCATATGTCTATGAACGACTGGGGACGTCTCAAGAAGCCAGGCAGCCTCCTGAACTCCTATAAATACGCTCCTCCAGCCCCAAGTCCAAACCATTCCATTCCCAAAGCTAGAGAGCACCTGAAAAGTGATTAGAGAGTAATTAAGAAAGTTTTCTTAATTTAAGTGAGGTTAGTGGAAGCTAGAGTAGGTTAGTGGAACCTCGCTATAGAGGTTAGATTGGCAACGAGGAGGCTGTGCATGAAGGGAGGAAGACTCGGAGGATAACCTGGTCAGCTGCCTTGGCCGAGTATGGTACCATATGACGATATGGGATCCAACCAGACATTGGCATGGTGCGCCAGTAAGGCCAATAGATGG